CCCCTCGCCACCGCACCCGACCCACAAAGGCCTCATGTTCCTGACCCGGCTGCCGGTGCCGCCTGGCACCGACCACCACCCGCGCTACCTGCTGCGCTCCACCGCGTACTTCCCGCTCATTGGCGCAGCTGTGGGGCTGTGGGGTGCCGTCTTCTTCACTGCGGGCGCCGCCCTGTGGCCGCGGCCCATCGCCGCAGGCGTGTCGACACTCGCCACAGTCTGGCTTACAGGTGAGGGGCGGCCGCCATGGGGCGCCAGGCAGTGTTGAGGTCTAACGTCCCAGCCGCACTTCGCTCGCAGCTGAAGGCGTAGACTGATCACATGCCGCTCAGATGCATGCTGAGCAATCCAGGGCTCACAAAGTGCCGGCGGCTGGGCGCGTCTGCACTGGAACGGAAAACGAGGTGCCACCTCTCCCTGTCTCGAGGTCGCAGGCTGCTTTCATGAAGACGGGCTTGCTGACAGCATAGGTAGGCCGCTGGGGCTGAGCCCGTGCTAACCAGCGGTCAAACATGCATCAGCTCCAGCAGTAAGCCGGCCGCGAGTCATCGTATTTGGGGTGTGTTGCATTTACATCGCCCGGGGATGCACATCAGCCGACTCAGCTGCACAACGGACAAACGGCTCCTTGACATGCATGTTTTGTCAACCAATGACTGCATGCAGACGGCTTTGGCGGGGGCTGGGGCCGTGCCCAGATCCTGCGCATCATGCGCGACAGCCGTGTAGGGACATACGCGCTCGTGGGGGTGGCCATCCTGCTGCACATAAAGATTACCGCCATGCAGTCGCTGCCAGGTGAGGCCTGCTGGCGCCGCGCTGGAGGTGAAAGGGACGCCGCCTGGTTGCCACCAAGCGTCTTTGGGAAGCTCTGGCGTGCACTCCGCTGTTGACTTGCCCCATGCTGGTTGGCTGCGGGATTGCGCATGTACAGCAGTCACAGCATGTTGTTGACCGTGAGACACTCAACAGCTTTGGCTTTCTCTACGCAACGCACTGTGCAGATGCGGCCTCGGTCATTGTTGTGGCACATTGTGTCAGCCGCTGGCCCTCCCTGCCCCTCCTCACATTCTGTGAATACATTGAGGTGAGGAGGGAGAGCAACAGTTGCCTGAAACGCCAACCTTGGCATCTGCTCGTGAGCACATAGTGCAGGCGGGGAGAGGAGCCGAGCATACAGTGCAAGATGGCGCTAACCAGGCAGGGCGTTGCCTAGGCCCCCAGCCAGAAACGCAGCTCACTGTGCTTCCCAGAGCCAGCCTCCATGTGGCCCACCCACACGTGACCGCACCCCCGCACCCCTGAAACTCGGCTGTTGCGGTGCTGCAGGACGATGAGCACGCGAAAGCCGGGATGGTGAGTCCTCCTCCCTGCGATATTCTGCAAATGCCTGACATAGGCCGGCGCTTGGGACGCCTGGCGTGTCACAAATTGCTGCAGTCTGCAGTCCAGTCACCACCCCATACACGTGTTGATTCTCCCTCCCCTGCGATGTGACTTTCCTCCCTCGCCCCCTCTATGTCCCCCCACAACAACCCAGTACAACGTTATGGCGCGCTGCCAGCCACTCCTCACCTGGCCCCGCTTCCTGTTGGGCACACTCGTTTCGCTGGCCGTGCCGGCGCTGGTGCTGGGCGCTCACGGCACGCTGGTGGTGTGGGCCACGACGCTGGTCATCACCACGTCGTCCATCTACTACTGCCGCGCCATCATCCAGGGTGTCGTGGGGGACTACATAGGTGGGGGCACCCCGCCACGTTCGCAGCTTGCGTGTGCTGAGGACTGAGGGACGCACCCGCGTAGCCGCCCTGCGTAACAATCCAGGCTCCATACCGCAGGTCGGTCCTGCTCTATGAAGCCCCGATTTGCAACCAGGCCTTCTGCCTGGCACTATTGTGCAGCCTCCCCTTTTGGCTCTCGAAACCTGCACCGCAACCTTCCACCCTCCAACACCTCCAGGTGCCACAATTGTGATAACTGAAATTGCAGTTTATCTGGCGCTGTCTGCTGACTGGGCGGCACTGGCGGCGGAGGACGGCTGGCGACCCATCTTGGTGCTGCTAGCTGCGCTGGTGGTGCCTGTCGTGTGGGGCCGCCGCATTGTCGACTTCAGCTGCTGAGGGCGATGATGCCGCTTCTGCGCATGCAAGAGCTGGGTACGCGCTGGTGGCACACCCCAACGCTGTGGCGTGCAGTATGTGGACTGGGGTGATGCACGGCGCACGGCTTATCTAAACCACCTCTATACTGCATTCCTTTGCAACCCGTTAATAGAATATTGCAATTTTTTGGGACCCACAACCTGACGTTTATGCATTCAATGACTTTTTTCTTCTGGCCAAGCCAAGCCTGACTCAATGAGGGATTGGGACTCCCTGTCTGTCGGACAGACCTGCAGGCTGCAGGGGCTGGTCCCAGAAGCTGTTCAAATTCTGATTAGTGGGGCCCATTGCAAACTGCAAGAGCTCTTGAAAAGGGCTGCCCACTCACACCCGGGAGTTACCACACACGCTTGCAGCTGCTTGTTTCCAATTAGATGTGGTAATGTTTATCATTTGTGTATTTCAACAGGGTTTCAACAAACTGCAGGATTTTCATGCGATGTGCAGCCAGTGCCACCGCCGTCGCCGCGCTTTGCACCGAATTGCATGTTGTTTGAACAGTGCAGTTCTCAACCGAAAACAAAGGCAAGCAAAAGTTCGCATTGGGCAGAAAACTTGCTCATTGAATTACGGCCTACTGCACAGCAGTTAGCAACGTGCAGAAGCAGCATTATGCACATGTTTCGAACTGGCGGCAGCTGGTGGCGTCGCGCTCATGCAGACGTGGCCACACCGACTTGCACCATTTATGTCGCTCAGCACACTGGAGACCGGCTTGGCCAGACGATGCAAAGGGCAGACAAGCCCTGAGCGAGCATCTGCAGGGACAAGGATGATTGCTCTGCCCATTGTGGTTTCAGGAACGCAGCATACATGTGGGATCATTTCAAAAACTCCGAGACCGTACAAAAGAGACGATTGCTGCAGTCAAGGCTGTTGGTGGCGAGTGCAGTATTTTAAGAGGTGGGATCACTGTGGGCCCAATTCTTGGCGGCGGTCAGGGCAGGGGCTTGCGCCAGGTCACACCAGTGAGGGCTGCCGTGACAGAGCCGCCCGGCGCCAGCGTGGCCGTGGCCACCCGCGGCGTCCCCGCGTTCGGCCCGCCGCTCAGCAGCAGCGACGACGTGCACTTTGCCGGCACCCCCGGTGCGCCGGGGACCGCGGCGCTCGTCACGACGACGGACGGGGCGGCGCCTGTCGCTGTCACGTTGAGAGAGTATGTGAGCTGGCAGGCGTCCCTGTCCTGCCTGGCCAGGAAGGCCGCATACAGGTCGTCCAGCTTCAGAGACTGGACCGGCCAGGAAGCCCAGCGGTTGTACTCCGTTACGACGTTCTGGGGGAGGGGTGGGCAGGTAGCAGGGGGGGCCGGGTGTTGATGGTGATTACGGTGAGCAGGACGTGGGGTTCGAGGAAGGTGCCCACAGGAGTGCAGCGGCTGATGACGGAGCATGCAGTGCTGGGTCGAAGTTGCTCAGTGAGCAAGCGCCAAGATGGCGCGAAGGCAGCAATGGATTGCACATGCTTGCTTGTTACTACTGACAAGCCTTGCAGCGGCAGCAGCCAGTCTGCCCGCCCACCTGCGTCCAGCGCATGAGCAGGCTGACGCCGTCGATCATGGCCAGGTTGGCCTGGTGCATCATGTGGGGATCCTTGCGCAGCTTGAGCAGCCCCTCACGCACAACGCGCGCCGCCTCACGTTTCATGATGTCGCTGATGGTGGAGGCGGTGCCATAGTACGACTGGTGTGGTGAGGGGCAAAAAGGTGGGCAGGAAGGGAGGGTCGGGATGCAGCTGCGACCGTCAGGGGGAACAACTAACTCAATCAGGGGCTGACTGTGGACCGCAACCGAGTAATGACGATTTTAAGGGACCCTATCTGAGGAGCTCCGATCCACATCTCCTGGCTGCCCGCCTTCCGTGAAAGCCTTGAAACCAAATCCACTAAGAGCCGGCTTGTTCGGCCCACAATCCTGCACCAACAAGCACCCTTCAAGGCCACGGCTTCTGTGGGCTTCCGCCCGGTCTGATCCAGCCGTCCCAGCCTCACCTGGTACAGACGGTTGTAGAGCCGCACGTTCTGCGCGGCCGTTGAGCAGTTGAAGTAGACCTGCAATCCACGATGCGTGATGCGAACAATGGTGGTGATATGGGTGCCTGCGCGTTTCGGGGGCAGGCGCACACATCACCTCGCCACACATGCAGTTGCGCGTCGCGCCGCAAGGGCGGCTTTGGTACGGGTTGATGAATCTCAGTTCGCCGACGTCAAAGGGCAGCCCACCTCCGTTGCCCAACGCGGCAGAATGGCCATGTTGGCGTAGCCGTTGGTATCAGGAGTAGTGTAAAGCATGTAGTGCGGATTGGTGGGGTGCAGGAGGAACCTGCCGGTTTTGCATACGCATAGGTGGATGGTGGGGACAAGGTTGCTGGTGCGTTGCCGCGCAAAACTGCATGGCATCCAAAAACAGGGAGGATGCGTGTTGCCGCACGGGCGCAGGAGCAGCATTTTTGCACCTGGCACCGAGCAGCGTTGCAACCAGGCAGGACGCGCCCAACAGTCAGGCAGGCGGCAGCGGGAGTGCAGGGCAGCAAGGCCGCGCACTTCCAGGTGTTGTCGCCCGTGACGCATTGGATGCCGCGGCCCGCGAGGGCGGCCAGGGCGTCACCATTGCGCAGCCCGCTGATCTGCGCGCGCGGCCGTTGAGGGGTGGCGGTGGCTTCGTTATCAGGTAATGGTGTTTGCGGGCATTAAAATGCATGCTTGCTCCTAGAAAGGACCGCAATGGTGGGAAACACAGAGCAAGCAAGCCAGTGCAAGTGTGGGCCTTTGCCGGATGTTTCAGCATGGGTGGCGACGGCACGGCCAGGGCCAGTGATCCCACCTGGGGTGTCACCATGCACTTGGAGCTGAACAGCGTACGGTTGCGGAGGTTGAGGAAGGCCTGCAGCCAGATAAGTTGAGTTGGCAATTATGCGAGTGTGAGCGCCGACCCTTGCATGCGTGTGGGTTGCTAGCTGCAGAACGCCTGTTGCCTTGAGCCACCTGGTTGCCGTCTGGGGGTTCGTGGTTCACTCCAGAGCCTGCATGGCAGACGACCCGTGCATGGTGACCTCAGCTACATCACCAGCAACCCCGGGGCTCATCCGCTCACCGGCCCGGCCATGTCGATGTTGAGTGCAAGCTGCTGGTCCGCGTCAAACCATGTGGCGTTGTCCAGGTTCTGAGCCAGTTGGAGCACGCGTCGGTGGCGTTGTGCCATTGGTGAGTGAAAGTGTGAGGGCCGCCGTCCCGCAATCGTGCATGGGTGGGTGGGTTTGGCCACAAAGAAGTGCTGATGAGCAAGTGAAACCCGTGCCGCACAACCAGCAAGGCAAGAAGGATGCAATTATATGACTTCCAAGGGAGGTACGGGGTGACAGAGATGGCTGACATCGCACAGGAGCCAGCAGGCCAGAGTCAACAGGGTCTGGTGAGGGCAAAAGCCTGAACAAGGCCTTTGAGAAGGGTGCATTGCACAGCTTTCCATCCTGGGTCATTACACTTCCATTTACTTGCAGAACAATTTAATTTGTCACAGGCTCACCTCGTGAGTGAAGGTGTGGTGGCAGTAGCTGAAGGCTGTCGCCACGTTGCCTGTGTTGGCGCGCACCGCGGTTGCCAGTGCGTCCTTGGCCTGGATGTTGGCAAGGCTCCAGTTGCCCGAGCTGCCAACAGCGGTCTGACGGTTGGCGCCCAAAAAGTCGCGACAGGGGCAGCGAGAGGTCAGCTGGATTGTTTGAGGCGTTCAATAGACAAGCCTGCAAAAGCACAAGTGTCCGCCGGCGGAGGGTGCCCTCCATGGCAGGCACAAGACGTGTTCCCAGCAAGAATGCAAGGATCGCCGTAGCAGCGCTGGTCTTGCGCTGGCACAGAGCGCCAATCTTGCCCACCTGGGGCACGCGACTTGTCCCAGTCCCGAGCGGCTTGGCCCAGTCCTGAGAGCGTTGCGGTGGCAGGAGACGCCGTGGGCCGATGCATGCGTGGCAGCTGCAGTAAAATGAGTGTAGTGCCACAGCTTGACCGTTCATGCGCTTTTGACACCTCGCTCAAATCAGATGACGGCAGACGTGGCAAGCGGAAGAGGCGCACCAACGCACCTTTGTGCAGCTCTTGCAGAAGTCTGGCAGGGTGGCTGGGCAGGAAGCCGTTCCGGTGTACCAGCAGTTGCAGCCCAGGCTAATGTAGAGGGGATCGTCCAGGCAGCCTTCGTTGTTGATGTCGACGGGCGCAGTCGTGCCCGTGTTGGTCTGCTCCAGGATGCCGTTGCCATTGATGGGAAGGTCGGCCCTGGTTGACCAAACCGTGGGTGACAGCACACACAGGGTCAAGGCAGAAACCCCACAAGTGAGCGGTTGACGGGGATGGGATTGCCACAGTGCCATGGCAGGCGGGGGTCTTTGCATCGAGGTACCAAGACAAGCACGGGCCACACAGACAGGGTACAACGACACTCTCCTCCATGGTCCACGGCTGCGGCCTGCCATCTTGGCCACTGGCAGTGATGGTAGTCCAGTGCCATAAGCATCCTCCCTGCATGCCCTCCTCCCAGGCATGCACATGCCACACACCTGAAGAGGCTGCCCGCAGGCAGTGTGTTGCTCATGTCGTTTTGCCAGGAAATGTGAGCCGCCAGGTCAGCGTAGCTCAAGCGGTAGAACAGCTTGCCGCCAGCCGGCTGCCCGGCATCGAAATCTGTGCCCCAGGCGGCGGGCACACAGCAAGCAGGGGTGCATAGAATGGTGGCCGTGAGCATCAGCACAGCCAGGTGAACTGCACCTGACAGGAATGGCTCGGCTGCTCAGATGCGGCGTCGCAGCTGCTTACGCCGACCTCCCCAGAACTGTTCGCTTGGAAGCTGCTCAGATGCCACAGCACAGGCCGAGAGGGGCCATGGACAGACGCCCCAGCAGCCTTGACTGCAGGTCCTCGTCGCGTTTTAAAGGTGGGTCAGTGCAGTACCGCTGGCTGCGATGCGGGCGCAGCAAAGGTGCAGAGGCACCAGTCGCCCCATTCTGGACCTTGAGGCCACAGGCCGGTCCAGCGCCGCACTGCGCGCTGCTCACCAGTGGTCAGGAAGACGTCGTCTGTTTGGACCGTCAGCAGCGCCTGGCGCACGCCGGGCACAGCGTTTTGCAGCAGCCAAGTCACCGCGAGGTGCCCGAGGGCCAGGCAAGACGTGCTCCAGCCGCCGCTGCGCAAGGTGAAGGGCGGGAAGGCGAGGGCGGAGGTGTGGGTAGAGGGGGTGAGCAGAGGGGTGGACGGCGAGATGCGTTTTGGAAGGCCAGAGGATGGACAAGCAAGCTGCACTCGTACTGCAACTCCATTTACTGCTTATAGTCAGGGTTGAGTGCGAAAGCAGCTGGAAAAAGGGAACACATGTAGGCACGTACACGTCGGCACAGGCAGCCGCGCTCGCGCCCAGGTATCTTGCGCCCCGCACCAGTCAAACATGAAGGCGAGGACCTCGCGCCCGTCCTGGTAATTGACCAGAGTCCCGCCCACGTATGTTGTGGACAGGTCGAGGATGGACGACACGTTGCAGGGCATGACGATGCCTGGGTTGGTGAAGTCGGCCGCCCACATGTTGCAGCTTGTGACAGCTGGCGAAGAGCGCAGAGCTGGGCACCTGCGCCGCGGGACAAGGTGCAAAGCTTGTGTGGATCTCTCTTTAGTTGGGGGCGGCAGCACTCGTTTTGAAGGGGGTAATGATGATGAAACAAGGGCAGCAAGCAGCAGCCTGCCCAGGCAAAGGGAATGCACGCCTGGGCTTGGCAGTCGATCAGAGCGTTGCTCACCTGTAGAGGCCTTCAGCGCTGAGGTTGGCGGTGCGCTTGATGCCCGAGATGCCCAGGGGCATAGCCGCGGAGATGTTCATTCGCGAGTAGCTGGAGGTGCATGCGGCTGGGGCCGGGACGTGCAAAACAGGGAGCATGGCACGGCATCTGAGAGCCTTGTCGCAGGGTAGTGCGTGGTTTGGCGCCAAGTTGCTTTGCAACATGCACCTCCATCTGACACCCGTTTGGGTTGGCTAAGCTTTAAGCATGTGTCAGCACATGCTGTCTCAGCGGCGGCATGGCTCAGTGGTGCGGACTTACTTGTGTCAGGGTTCCAGCCAACATTGCTGGGCCAGGCGCCTGCAGGACAGTTAAGAGGGTTTGGGTGGTGACGAGGGATGCGGGCAGGTAGTGAGAGTCTTCCTGGCTTAGCACGCTGTTCGAGCGAGTGCTAAGGGCCAGCAGCACGCCCAGCGTAGCGCCGAGAAACGCACCAAACTTCACGCCGCGAACGCCAGTCTGCCTCTGGAACGCCCAGACAGCGTCGACGTCGGACCGGTTCAGGAGGCCCATGGCCTCGACGTTGGGGTACCTGCGCGCAGCATGGTGGTGCGGGTGGGAGGCGAGCGCGCACATTGCGATCAGCAGCTTGCTGGAGTGTTGCTGCTTGACAACAGAAGGGCCGGAGGAGCATCCAGCTAGCCAGCTGCTGTTGGTGGTGGTTGCAGCTTGGTTGCATGGATTGGGCACCAGCCAAAGTCAAAAGCCATGAATTTTGTTGGTGCTAGAAGGGAAAGTGCTGAAATGATTGCCACCACCCATCTATCGCGGCCTCACATGATCAGGCCGCCCCAACGCGGGGTCTTGCCGTCGGGCTGCCACAGCAGCTCGGTGTAGTTGATGCGCGTGGGAGCCGCCGAGTCGATGCGCACAACACTGTAGCGCACGCCGTAGCCCTGCATGACGGACTCAAGGAAGTCGGTGCTGACAAAGCCTGCGCATGCATGGATTCGGTTGCGAGTTGGCGGCAAGGGGTGGGGGGCGGAAGTTGCTTGGCGCTCCGAGGCGTGCAGCTGATGCGGGTAAGTGTGCATACGATGGCGTGGGTTCTGAGATGAATCGCGGGCGGTGATTACCATCATAATTCCGTGCGTGCCATCACTGCGCTCTTCCAGGCCTGGGCCATGTTTGGGCCCAGCTCATTTCAGTCTGCCACCTGTCGCCTCGCACCGCCTCGGCCAGCAGCTCACCGGGTGTGGAGAGCACCAGCACGTTCAGGGGCACTAGCACGGCACTGACGCTGCTCAAAGCAAAATATAAGCAGCAGAAGATCCAGAGGGGGGCCATCATTGCTTCCCGTCTGCGTGACGTAGAGTCAACACAGCACGTGCAGCTGGAGAGAAGTCAGTCGAGAAGTGATTAGCCACAATGAATCTTTGAACAAGCTTGTATAAATACGTATGAAACCACAGCGACCCTCGGCCGGCGCCCTCCTTTCCCGTGGTGGTCCCTGCCTCGTTTCGTGCCTCGGGTGAACACCGGCGGCCCAACTGCGAGAACCTGATCGACCCGGAGTTTGAGTTGCCCAGGCTACAGAAAAACATGTATTTATGTACCACGAACGTTTTAATCCCGCCTTTGACCCTCGTTCTGTGCTGACGCACGCTGCACTACGGTACTTTGGAAGGCAACAGCGCCATCAACATGCGGCCCGTGCTTGTGCTTGCCCTCGTACTGGGGCTGTGCTACATCCCCAACCTGGCCAATGGCGATGCTACCGCCCTAGCAACTGTGCTTCTCAAATCTGCGAGGTGCGCACTGCCAGACATGTACCCTCTCTGACGAGGCGCCCCACGCCTCGCGGCCCCGCAACAACCTCGCCTCGAGGAGGCAGCGACTTTCAACCCATGTCGGCGCCTCGCCGCGACCTCTGCCGCACGCTCCCATGCATGCAATAGGGATGCGGATGGCTGCGGCAAGCTGGAGGCGCCGTGCTGCTTGGCCGGCCCCAATGCGCAGCGCTGCAAAGGCCCTGGCCTTGCGTGCATTGGGCTTGCTCAGGATATGAGGTGGGTGGTGCGTGCACAACAATCACAGCGACGGCAGCAGGAGGGGGCCGCAGCAGCTGCATGAGATCACATCTCTACATAGGATACATCAAGCTGCATTGTGGGAGTACTCAAAATTGAACAAACCTGGTCAAATGGATGCCTGCGTGGCACCCACCCCTTATGAACCCACCCTGCAGGTGCCGCGCCTGTGGTGGGTGGAACCAGATCGCCTGCGAAGGTGTGTGTTGATGTCAGCTGAGCTGTTTTCAATCTGAAGCCCACGTTGATGGGTTGTCAACAGCGCAGACAGCCGTCCACAAAGCCTTGCCTTGTCAATGGCAGCAACCAGTCCGTCTCGCTCGCCCACCCGCTCTCACTTTGCCACGATGGCAGTGATGCTATGGTATGAGTAACTTATCTATCTATCTTTGCCACCACGTAACACCACCTCCAACCCCCACATCCCCACAGCAATTGCTCAGTCCCAAGCGCAACAAAAGATCCCCCCCATCTGGTGCAATCGGCATCCACCCCGCCTCCCTGCAACTGCCGCCCGGTCACCAACACAATCAACCCCCTCTCCCGCAAACAAAACCACTGGCAGGCCTCAAGTGTGATCAAGGCCTTGCGGCCGTAGGCACAGAGGACCTGGACGCCCCCATATGCCTGGAGGCTGCGCGCAACCCGCCGGGCCTTGCTGCCGCCGCGGACAAGGCCTCTAAGCTCAAGGACTCCGACTGCCCTCCTGGCAAAGCGTCCAGCGACAAGGAGTGCGCAAAGCGGGACAATGCGAAGGGCCAGCGCATCACCGGAGCGTGCGACCCTGCCGGCAACGACTGCGAGCGCGGGGCTTGCGTCGGAGGGGTGTGCGTCCCATGCGGCGGGCCCAAGCAGGCGTGCTGCAAGGGTGCTTCCCAGCCATGCCGCGGATATGGGGGGCGTGCGACTTGTGAATACGACGCTGCTTTGGGCACCGCTGTGTGCAAGTATGCCGATGTTTGAACTTTGGAGGGGTTGGTCTGCCAGCTGCAGCCCCCTGCCCTTGCCGACCCTTCCATTGCAGACGCTTTGTGTGCGCAATCCGATCGGTCTGGACAAGCCTGGCTGACGTCGCCTTAGCTGGCAAAATGCACGCAAAGATATGCCCCCTCCACAAAGTGTTGTGTCGCAAGCCTGCTGCAGTCAGTGTTGCTTGATTGATTTTGACTGCCTGCATAAGGGGCGAACTATCCCAAAATTACGCTTGTTGCTCTAGTTGGCTAGGCAGTAAATTGATGTTGTGCCTGTCCAAGGCATGAGACACAAGAATTCACAACATGATGGGTAATAACAAGGAGAGTTCGTTCAACGGAGTTGCCCTCGCCCTTGCATCCCCGCAATCACATAGTCACGTCGGTGGTGCGCCAGACAAGTGAGAAGATCACAGAGTACAGAACGCATCCACCAAGGAATGTTGCGTAGTCCACAGCTGGGCCAGATCAGCGCCCCGATGCCATGACATCATCCAGGGACGCCATGTCACTCATGATCGCGGCCGCGGAGCGCAGCAAGGGCAGCGCCAGGATTGCCCCAGTTCCCTGCAAGTTTGTTGAATGGCGGATGCGGGGGCAGGGAGGGGGGGGGGGTATATCAGAGGGGGGCGCAGGCATGAGGGTGCGGCAAGGAGGCTCTCGACTGCAACTAACCACATGAGGTTCACCAGGCGTTGCTGATGCAGAAAGCAAACGTTGGTCCGCCACTCTCGGTTTCTTTCCCCCTTCCACCCAGCCTTGAAGCCCCCGCCAAGCACTCCATGTGGTCAAGTTTCATGGCCCACCTCGCCCAGCCTCATGTCCATTTGCAGGGGCGCCCTGAGCCCTAGCTCCTCCAGCACAGCCCCCGCCGCCGCCTCGGCGCTCCTATGAGACGCAAACAAGCACTCCTTCACTGTCGGGTCGTGCCGCACCGCCGCAAGCGCCGCGGCGCCCGAGACGAACCCGTCCACCACCGCGGGCAGCCGGCGGCGGGAAGCCTCCAGGAAGGCGCCGGCCATGGCCGCGAGCTCCAGGCCGCCCACCGCGCGCAGCGCGCCCAGAGCGCCGTGGTCCCGGATGAGAGACGAGTTGGCGGCGAGGGCGCGCTCCACCGCGCGCTGCTTTGTGTCCAGGCCCGAGTCGCAGACGCCGGTGCCGCGGCCGACAACGGCGGCGGGCGCGGCCCCGGTCAGCGCGGCGACGAGCGCACTGGCGGCGGTGGTGTTGCCGATGCCCAGCTCGCCAATCGCCAGCGCCAGGCCGGCAAAGCTCCCCGCTCCCTCCTGCTGCTGCTGCTGCTGCTGCTGCTGCTGCTGCTGCTGCTGCTGCGCCGCCCGCGCAGATCCCTGCCCGGCTTCTGAGGACGCCACGGCGGCACGCTCGCACACGCGCGCCACCGCCGCCGCGCCGGCCGCCAGCGCCGCCGCGCACTCCTGTTCGCTCATCGCCGGCCCTTCGAGGAAGCTGGCGCTGCCGCGCGCCACCTTTGCATGGAATGCGTGCACTGATGGGAACACAGCCTCGCCGGCTGCATGTGCCGCTGCACCATCAGACGTTTTGCCGCTGCAAGCCGCGTCGGACCCGACGATGACCGGGGCGTTGCTGGAAGGAGGGGCGGCTGCCGAGCAGCTGCCGTCCAGATCTGCGTCCACCCCGACGTCGACGATCTCTAGATCGACGCCGTTGGCGGCACAGAGGGCGCTACTTGCGGCCTGGCCGCGTACGATGGCGCCGAACATGGCGGGCGTGACCTTGAATCGCGGGGGGAAAAAGGCAGGATCCGGGGGCAAACAGTCGGGGTGGCGGCAGGTCAGATGTGGCTGCGACAAAGCAGCGTGCTGCAGGGTTGGTGCGGGGCTGTCATGGCGGGG